AACACCATTGTTGTTCCTGCATAGCAGACCGTACGATTGTTGAATTCAGAATGGCTGATACCACTCCATTTCCTCTCACTAACACCTAGACTACCCATCTTTACACATTCCATTTCATTTTTGATGACTTCTAATTTTCCTTGAGTCATACTTCATACATTCCGTATTCTGATTACAAGTGGATGTTTGCAGCTGTTACTTCTCATTTTGAGTCCTGCACATCAGCACATGAAGCTTCTGAAGGCTTTACTCCATCCATCTATGTCATTAAGGTCAGCTTTACTTTGAGGACGAAGCTTTTCCCCAGTTGTGTTTTGAGTGGCTTCCAACCTGAGGGGCTCATCTTCCAGTACTATATCAGAAAATGTTCTGTTGTTATCCAGAAGGTTTTCATTGGCTGGTTTTAGGAAGGAGATTGCCAGATCTTTCTTCCTAGTCTTAGTCTGGAAGCTCTGCCAAAACCTTTCCACCATGCTATTTAAAACACCAGTGGCATGGCTTCCAGCATCATAACAACATGCAAGCCACCACAGCACAAGAAACTGACAGATGGCTGGTGGTTAGCCTTACCTCCTGTTTATGACAACCTACATCAGGTGATCTTTTAGTTCTTCCCAACGATCTTAATTCCTTTCTTTAGTTTTATCTATTCTCTAGTCTTCTAATAACTGGAATCTTTCTTTTCACCTCAGAACTCCTATAATGCCTCCCACTTGCTCATTCTTTGCTGATTTTTTTAAATCAGAAAGTAGGAACATGAAGAAGGGAACTCCCACATGCTTCTAATACCACATGTAACAATCGTCCTGAATCTGGTCTCAAATCATCTGCCTTCCCACCTACTACTGGTGGAAAGTATAACCATGTAACTATCTGTAGCCAAACACTCCATGGCTTGTAGTCATTTTCTATAACCCAATCAAGACCTCTGAGGCATTGTAGGTTCAGTGGTGAAATTCTTGCCTCTCAATGCAGAAGACTCAGGTTTAATTCCCAGCCAACGTATTTCATGCACAGTGACCACCCATCTGCCATTGGAGGCTTGCATGTTGCTGTGATACTGAACAGGTTTCAGTGGAGCTTCCAGACTAAGATGGATTAGGAAGAAAGGCCATAATTAGCCAATGAAAACCAAATGGATCACTATGGTCCAGTCCACAACTGATCATGGGGATGGCTCAAGACCTGGCAACTTTTTGTTCCATTGAGTCAGGGGCTAACTCTATGGCAGCTAACAACAATCAAGACCGCATCCAACAACTGAACCCTCTTCCACATCCTCCAATTTCCCTCTCTTTCCTGGTTCATTTTCAAAAGCATACAAATATGTTTTAACATCACCCATCTAAAAACAAAACAAAAAATAAACATACCAACTGCTTTCAAACCAAAATCTTTGTCCAGATACCATGTCATAACTATTCTCTTTTATAGTAGATTTGTCATTTATATTTCTGTGGTCAACACCATTTTGCCATTCTCTCTTGAACCACTCCAATCTGCCTACTTTCCCCACCATTCCAATCAAATAGCTGATATCAAAGTCACGAATGACTCCAAAATTCATGCTTAATGTCAATTTCTCATCTTCTTTGATTTATTAGCAATATTTGAAATAATTGGTGGTTCTCCCTTTGCTGCCTTTTAGTTACCATGTCTTTGATTGTTCATTTCTTTAAAATTTATGGAGTTACTTTATATGTTAAATAAATAAATAATTAAGAGGTGTTTACTGGGTGGTGGAAATGATTTGCACTGAACTACTAACCTAAAGGTTGGTGTTTTGAATCTACCTAGCAGTACCTTGAAAGAAGGGCCTGGCTATCTGTTTCCACAAAGATTCCAACCAGTAAACCTTATGGAGCAGTTCTACTCTGTAACACATGGGGTCACCATGAATCAGAATTGACATCATGGCAATGGGTTTTTCTTTTTACACATATAATGAGAAATTGTTACAAGTCATTTTCATATGAGTTTTATTCCAAGTTAGTAAAAAGAGAACACAGTATAGCTGAAGAAAGGAAAAGAATTTCAACAGTGTTTATTTAAGCAGCTGTAAACTATCCAAATTTTGAGATTTTTTTCAGTTTCTACTTGGTATTTCAAGATCTATCCTGAACTACAAGAATAGATTTGATGCATTGAACACTAATGACCGCAAACCAGATGAGTTGTGGAATGACATCAAGGACATCATACATGAAGAAATCAAGAGGTCATTAAAAAGACGAAAATGGAAGTCAGAAGAGACTCTAAAACTTGCTCTTGAATGTAGAGTAGCTAAAGCAGAAAGAAGAAATGACGAAGTAAAAGAGCTGAACAGAAGATTTCAAAGGGCAGCTCGAGAAGACAAAGTAAAGTGTTATAATGAAATGTGCAAAGACCTGCAGATAGAAAACCAAAAGGGAAGAACACTCTTGGCGTTTTTCAAGCTGAAAAAACTGAAGAAAAATTCAGGCCTCGAGTTGCAATTTTGAAGGATTCTACGGGGAAAATATACAACACAGGAAACATCGATAGAAGAGGGAAAGAATACACAGAGTCACTGTACCAAAAAGAAGTAGCCGACGTTCAGCCATTTCAGGAGGTAGCATATGATCAGGAACTGATGACCTTGAAGGAAGAGGTCCAAGCTGCACTGAATGCATTGGTGAAAAACAAGGCTCCCGGGATTGACGAAATACCAGTTGAGATGTTTCAACAAACAGATGTAGCACTGGAGGCACTCACTCATCTATGCCAAGAAATTTGGAAGACAATTACCTGGCCAACCAACTGGAAGAGGTTGGTGTTTGTACCTATTCCAAAGAAAGGAGATCCAACAGAATGCAGAATTATCGAACAGTATTATTAATATTGTACACAAGTCAAATTTTGCTGAAGATCATTCAAAATCAGTTACAACAGTACATCGACAGGAGACTGCCAGAAATTCAAGCCAGATTCAGAAGGAGGTGTGCAACAAGGGATATCATTGCTGATGTCCGATGGATCCTGGCTGAAAGCAGAGACTACCAGAAAGATGTTTACCTTTCGAAAGCCATTCGAATGTGTGGATCATAACAAATTATGGATAACGTTGTGAAGAGTGGGAATTCCAGAACACTTAGTTGTGCTCATGAGGAACCTGTACATACATAAAGAGGCAGTCATTCAGACAGAACAAGGGGATTCTGCATGGTTTAAAGTCAGGAAAGGGGTGCATCAAGGTTATATCCTTTCACTGTACTTATTCAATCTGTATGCTGAGTAAATAATCCAAGCAGCTGGACTGTATGAAGAAAAATGCAGCATCAGAATTGGAGGAAGACTCATTAACAACTGCATTATGCAGATGACACAACCTTGCTTGCTGAAAATGAGGAGGACTTGAAGCACTTATTGATAAATATCAAAGACCACAGCCTTCAGTGTGGATTATGCCTCAACATAAAGAAAACAAAAATCCTAACAGCTGGACCAATAAGCAACATCATGATAAACAGAGAAAATACTGAAGTCGTCAAGGATTTCATTTTGCTTAGATCCACAATCAGCACCCATGGAAGCAGCAGTCAAGAAATCAGACAACGCATTGCACTGGACAAATCTGCAAGAGATCTCTTTAAAGTGTTAAAAAGCAAAGATGTCACTTTGAAGACAAGAGTGCTCCTGACCCAAGCCATGGTATTTTCAGTCATCTCATGTGAGTGGGAAAGCTGTACAGTGAATAAGGAAGACTGAAAAATAATTTATGCCTTTGAATTACGGTGTTGGTGGAGAATATTGAATATACCGTGGACTGCCAGAAGAAAGAACAAATCTGTCTTGGAAGTACAGCCAGAATGCTCATTAGAAGCAAGGATTGTGAGGCTTCATCTCACATAACTTGGACATGCTATCAGGAGGGACCAGTCCCTGGAGAAGGACAACATGCTTGGTAAAATAGAGGGTCAGCAAAAAAAAAAAAAAAAAAGCAATGCTCTTGACAAAATAGATTGACACAGTGGCTGCAACAATGGGCTCAAACGTAGCAAGGATTGTGAGGATAGTGCAGGACCAGGCGGTATTTCATTTTGTTGTACATAGGGTTGCTATGGGTCAGAACTGACTGGATGGCACCTAACAACAACATTTGATATGCAGTTTTTTCCCCAAAGTTTTCAAAATGAAGGAGGAAACCAATAAAAATTGCTACAATTTAATTTTCTCCTAACAGCTATTGTCATGCAGTCAGCTGGTAGACTCAGTAGTGACCCTAGAAATATGTACAATTCTTTAAATTTTTAGGACACCTCTGAGGGACTGGACTTCTTCCTTTTGATTATACACTATAATTAATGGGCCTGATCCCCAGCCTATAGAGTGTACAGAGCTGGTGAAGAGAATCAAGAAGTAACTGTCATGTACCTGCATTTCCATTGGGTAGTCTGATATCTGTGTGTTCCATAACAAATGCAAATGTCGTCATAAAAAGAAAAAACTCTACCACACTGAGTCCTTCCTATTCTTATTAATTAGCTACATAATTATTAGCCCACTGTTGGAGTGAGACATCTCAGTTGTAGTAGATTAATCAAAAAATAACAATCATACACCAGTTTTCTCCAACTAACAATTGTCTGAGGAATCTATGACTAGGACTGTCCTCCAACACAACCTGAACGTGCCAGTAATATATACTCGTGTAAAAGGGAGCTCAGAGAAGCTATGAATACAGAAGGTAAATACTCATGGATACTGCTCAGTGGCATATAAGCATACATTGCACAATCAAGACTTCTAGTTTTAGAATTCTGTATTTAGTCTGAAACTATGCATACCAAAGGAGCCTTGGATATTAAGAGGAAAGGTTGAGAAAAGTGAGGATAAAGTAAATTACAAAGTAGTGGGATGATTTGAACTGAGGCGAAAGGAGATTGGTCATTCTTAACGTCTGCAGGGGATTGATTGAATCTGTCTTGGAAGCACATAATTTAAAACTAGATAAATATCATCATTTCTAATATGCTTATCGAGTGTTCGCTTCAGCAGCACACATATACTAAAATTGGAAAGATACAGAAAAAAATTAGTGTGGCCCCTTCAGAAGGATGACATGGAAAATTGTGAAGTGTTCCATATTATTCAACACCAAAAAATACATACAGTGAATTATTTTTTGAAATATGACTATTGATGCACTTATATAGAAGAACCCAAATTACACTTACTCTCTTGTGTTATCATGAAGCTTTCACTTCTGACATCAAAAATACTCAAAAAAGAATGTGTAGTCTAAAAGTAAAATGCCCTGATGATGTTTGAACACTGAAAGATTGGAGAGCAGAGGGATGGGAATCTAAATCATGAACAAGGCTGAGGGGATACATCTGCATGCCCAGTGGGAAGTTCATTTCAACACAGGTTACTCAAGCAATAACACCAACAGGCTTAAAAAATAAATGATAGTGAATAGAATAGGGGAAAAATCACGTACAGTGTATCCTGACAAGTCAGTGTATCCTGACTAGTCAGTGTTAACCAAAAAAGAGAAATTGCTAACTAGATAGTAGACAAGTGTTAACTTTGGTGAAGGGAAAGACAAGCACAAGACACAATATAGGGGAAGTCAGCACAACTTGAAAAAAAATAATTAAAAATCTTTAATAAATAAAAAAGCAAGCAAAGTAAATAGGGGTGGGTTAGTTACCAGAAAGGACACAGGGGTTCTTCATAGGAACTTAGGACTTAGACAGCAGGTGTGCCACTTCCATGAAATTTTTCCTTCTTCCTGTGAGTTACCATATTGGCAACCAAGCATGGACGCTGCTTTCTAAGTAGCTAGGAGCACAGAGGTGGGAGTGAGGGTAAGCAAGTGAGACGAAGACCAAGTAGGAAAAAAAAAAAATTAATTTTCAGAGAGGGGAGGAAAGAAGGAAGGAAGTGAGAAAGAAAAATAATATTGAGTTGGAAGAAAATGGGAGGCAAGGAGATAAGGGGATCATTGGCCCAAGGTAATTAAATTAACTATGGCTGTTCAAATGGAGCCCTGGTGGTGTAGTGGTTAAGAACTCAGCTGCTAACCAACAGGTCGGCAGTTCAAATCTACCAGCTGCTCCTTGGAAACCCTATGGGGCAGTTCTGCTCTGTCCTACAGGGTCACTATGAGTTGGAACTGACTCGATGGCACCCAACAACAACAACAACAACATGGCTGTTCAGTAGTATGAACATATATAGCCTTTTGCCTAAAAACATGAAATTTTATGTTTATCAATCCTTGTAGCTATCACTGACAGGTCACCTTAAGAAAGTCGCTTAACCCTCCTCCAGATTTCAATTCTCTCATCTTCCTTCAAGTTGATTCCGACTCATAGAGACCCCATAGGACAGAGTAGAACTGCCCCATAGAGTTTCCAAGGAGCAGCTGGTGGATTTGAACTGCTGACTTTTTGGTTAGCAGCTGAGTTCTTAACCGCTAAGCCACCAGGGCTCCAGAAAATTATAGTACGTATTATATAGTTTGGAGCCTTGCTGGCAGTGGTGAAGAGCTTGACTGCTAACCAAAACGTCAGCAGTTCAAATCCACCAGCTGCTCTTTGGAAATCCTATGGGGCAGTTCTGCTGTGTCCCATAAGGTCGCTGTGAGTTGGAATTGAATCGATGGTAATTTTTTTTGTAATATAGTTTTGAATTAAATAAATAATAAATGTAAAATGCTCGGCATTGTTCCTAGTGCCCAGTAAGCATTCAAAGATGATAATCATATCATCGAGAATTAAAGAGGTACATCACCATTGTCTTTCTCTACTTGAACTAGAGCAAATAAAATTTCCTTATGTATATTTATTAACACATTAATTAGTATTGAAATTACTGGTAACTGGTATTCCTTCTGGCTTCCTAAACTGTGATCAAAAAACAAAGGCCCCATTTCAGCTTTATAGATATATATATGTGTGTGTGTGTGCGCGCGCGCACGCACGTGTGCACAACTTAAGTCTTCACCAGGCTTGTTTCCAGCAGTTGGCCCCATTAAGAGTTCCTCTGAGCACCACTATTTCTGAGAACTCCCCTGCTTCATTAGTGCTAGAACCAAATTCCTCTGTATCTATATGTTCAAAATAACCCAATAAAGTGGATCTTCACCAAGAAATTGGAGGAGTTGCTTTAAAGTCAAATTTAGAATGAAGATTGTGTTGGACTAAATATGGCCACAAATGCTTTGCAAGTTTCCCATCAAGAATTAGAAGTATTTTCCTACTCCTTGAATTTGAGCAGTCTTGTGCCTTGCTGTGACCAATGCAATGTGGCAGAAGTGATAGTTGTGTGAGTCCCAGAGGCTAGGCCTCAAGAGACCTTGCAGCCTCCACTTTTTGCTGCCTTGCGGTGCCTTGAAACGGCTATGTAGGGAAGCACTATCTACCCAGCTTGAGAATGAGAGACCCCACAAAGGAGAAGAGCTGACTAAGCTAACAGCCAACAGCAACCACTAAATGAAGAAGACACATGAGTGATCCCAAGTGTGACCAGCAAAAAGGAGCCACTTAGCTGAGCCAGCCCAAATTGCTAAACCAGAGATCATGAGAAAGTAAATAGTTGCTGCTGTGAGCCACTAAGTTCCCAATGGTAGGTTAGGCAGCGAAAGCTAACAAATACAAAGACTCTACTTAAATTCTTAACAAAGCAATTTTAGGTTTAGGATTCATAAATACATAAACATCCAAGATATGTTCAGTACTCTGGGAATTGTACTATGAATTGTGGGAATGAAGAAGTCAAAGTATTTGTCCCCAGAAAGTTAATACTGTTAGTAGGGAAAGAAATATCCCTGTGTATCTTCTAGTTGCATCGATACAGAAATAAGAAATAAGGAGTTTTATGAATAAAGTTTAAATACTAAGAAAACTTGTAACGAGCTTTAAAAAAAAATCAAGAAAAGATAGGAGTTAGTCTTCTTTCATTTTATTTTATGAGTACTTAAATATTTGAGAATTATGTAAGTCCCTCAAGAAAGGCTGTGCAGTTTGCAGTATATCACAGAATTCAGTAGTGTACCTATTGTAATATGTATTATAAAAAGCACTTTTTATTATCTCAAGAACAATAACGATGCAGTAAACCTTGATTCTCTTTTTACTGTTCATATTGTCATTCTATTAAATATCACATAGTCAAGAAATATTGCTCCAAAAAAAATTTGCTGTACCTTCCAAAACGAGAAGGAGGAGTGTTTCCCTACAGCTTTAGAAGGCTTCTTCCCCAGAAATGCTATTAGTCACTTCAAGCTTTCTGTTAGCCTCAGAGAGTTACTTGATTTAGGTCACTTCTATCCTGATAATATTTCCTCAAAGAGCTATAACGGGCTTTAATGTCCTAAATAGTGTTTTGCCAATTTCATTCAATTGAGTGAGAACAGAAATCATTTTGGCTTTAAAGGAGGAGTGTTCTGTCTTTTGAAATTAGAAAAACTGTATGCCTTACATAGAATTAGATGCTTCCAAGTAACAAGGCACCTCAAACAGACTGGAAGGAGAACAGAGATGGCATGTTCTTCGTCTTCTGAAATATGCCAAGCCAAGTGGCTCTCTTCTCCTCTTACAGCAGTCTTTCCTGGAAGAGATAATGGGGTTTTGGGCACTTGGTACCATGCAGGGCCTTCTTCCCAGAGCCCTTTTTCAGAAACGCAGTTATCAATGTACAATCATTGGTGAAGGGGAATTACAGCTAAAAAAGAGACAGTGGGGCAAGGGGCTCCTCTGGCCAGATCACCTCCATCAGAAGCAGTGTAGATGTGGTTTCAAGAAAATTAAAAGGATTGTCAGGAACCTTGGTATAAGTCCCCCTTCCATCACCAAAGAGTTTTATTTGGCCTATTTCCTTGACGTTTCTGGACTTCAGCTGCCTCATTTTTAAAACAAGGATAAAAACACTCCAAGGCTACCTTACAACTTTGTAATAAGCATCAAGTTCTAAAAAGTGCAAAGGTGTTCCCATTATGCTGCCTCACTAAATGTGACATTTGGGCACAAGTATGAGCGTTGTTGTAATTGGTGTCTGTCCATTTGCCTTTCTTCTCTCCATAATGGATCTGAAGTCAAACTGTCTTCATTGTTTTTGTTCAGTGACGTTCTCTCCCATGACACCCAGTGGGTCAGAAGAGTCACATTTTTTATTTATAAATAGTTAAATCTTTTGTATTAAAATTATTTTGAAGGAGGTGCCTTGTTGGACAGCTATTTTCTTTTTCCTCTGGGGAGAAGAGGAGAAATGTTCTTGGAAAGAATGTATGTCTACATTAATTTGCAAATTCCTGTATATAGAGATATATCTCTTAAGTGTGAATGTAACAACATACTGTGAATTCCATCTTAATTACAAACAAGACTCCTTCAGTCAGTTATCCAAATAAAATAGTTCTGGAAAAAAAATACATTAATGATTATTATTACTGGAAAAAAAAATGACAAGCTAGTGCTGTGGTCTCTGTGGCAAATATTTTCTACCAGAAATGCAGGAATGTGGGAAATCCGTCCCTTCATTCCACCCTCATTTGTGTTTGTAAGGATGAATCCATGTGTTCTTCCCAGTGTAGGTAATTCTATAGATGCTGCCTGAGGTAGTCAGGCAGACTCTCAACGTCGAAAATTATGGGCACAAATCTCTAGGCAGCATACGCTCCGAGATATTTTTTATTTGGAAAATACATAGTTGGTTTCACGTTTAAATCACTATTGTAATTGCCTCGTATGTAGTCTCAAGGTTCCTAGCCTTCACGCTGCCATCAGTACCTTCCCTGAGCTCAAGACTGATCAAGGCTTGCCCTTCAGTGGCTCTTTAAGCCCTGTACCATATGGCTCCCAGTCTATATCTCCATTCATCTGCTGAAATTCTTGGCCTGCTCTTAAATTTACAGTAAGACTAAACTACATTCAGCTTCTTTATTTTTTTCTAGGCTTCTGTGCCTTTGCATATGATGTTCTGTCTTTCTCAGATTTACTTCCTATCTCTAAACTGCTGTATCTGCCTGTCAAACTATTCTTTAGACTTCAAAATCCTATGCAGTCAACACCACCCTTCTGTTTAGCTTCCAAAACACACATACACTCTGATAGAGTTAATTACAAATCAGCACACATGCAGACA